GAGTCATGACTCAGTCATCAGGCGGTATGACCGACCTATGTGGAGCGTTGGCATGAAGGAAAAGACACTTCGAAGGCAAAGGCGCTTTGAAGCAAAAGGCCCTTCGACGGCAAGAGCGAAGGCCATTCTAAGCCAAAGGACCTTCGATGGCAAAGGCAAGCGCATTAGAAGGCTAAGGCCCTTCAATGGCAAAGGCCCTTTGAAGGCAAAGAAAAGGCTCTTCCATGGGATAGGCCCTACGATGGCAAAGTAATTCGATAGCAAAGGCCTCTCGATGGCAAACGGCCATCGGAGGCAAAGGCCCCTCAAAGCCAAATGCCCTTCGATGGCAAAATGCCCTTCAATGGCAGAGGCCATTTGATGTCAAAGGCCCATCAATAGCAAAAGCCCTTCGATGGCAATGGCTGCGATGACAAAGGTAAAGCCTCTTCGATGGCAATGGCGCATCGATGGTAAAGATCCTTCGATGGCAAACGCCCTTTGATGGCAAAGTTCCCAACGATGGCAAACGTCCTTCGATGGCAAAGGCAGAGGCCTTCGAAGGCAAGGAGTGAATTGTAACAAGCAAACATCCTCTTTTCTCACAATCACTCGAGTCTTGGTACGGCTAGGTCGGAGGATGTTGCATTAAAAGATAGTCTAGGTCGGAGGATGTTGCAGCGGATAAAGGGATTGAGTAGTTTGAAGCATTATATGTGGAGCGTTCGCATGAAGGAAAAGACACTTCGAAAGCAAAGGCAAGGGCGCTTTGAAGCCAAAGGCCATTCGATGGCAAAAGCCCTTGGATGGCAATGGCGCATCGATGGTAAAGGTCCTTCGATGGCAAAGGCCTTTTGATGGCAATTAAAAGGCCCCTCGATCGACGGCAAACTCCCCACGGATGGCAAAGGCAGAGGCCTTAGAAGGCAAGGAGTGAATTGTACGACTGTAACAAGCAAACATCCTCTTTTCTCACAATCACTCGAGTCTTGGTACGGCTGGGTCGGAGGATGTTGCATTAAAGGAGAGTGTATGTCGGGGGATGTTGGAGCGGTTAAAGTGATGGAGTAGTTTGAAGCATTATATGCGGAGCGTTGGCATGAAGGAAAAGATACTTCAAAGCAAAGGCGCTTTGAAGCCAAAGGACCTTTGATGGCAATGGCGCATCGATGGCAATGGCCCTTCAATGGAAAACGCCCTTCAATGGCAAACGCCCTTGAGTTGCAAAAGCCCTTCAATGGCAAACGCCCTTGAGTCGCAAAGGCCCTTGGATGGCAAAGTTCCCATCAATGGCAAAACGCCCTTCGACGGCAAACGCAGAGGCCTTCGAAGGCAAGGAGTAAATTGTACGGCTGGGACAAGCAAAACATCCTCTTTTCTCACAATCACTCGAGTCTTTGTACGGCTGGGTCGAAGGATGTTGCATTACAAGAGAGTCTAGGTTGGAGGATGTTGCAGCGGATAAAGCGATGGAGTAGTTTGAAGCATTATATGTGGAGCGTACGCATGAAGGAAAAGACACTTCGATGGCAAAGGCGCTTTGATGGTAAAAGTCCTTCGATGGCAAGCCAAGGCCTTTTGATGGTAATTAAAAGGCCCCTCGATCGACGGCAAACGCCCCATGCACGGATGGCAAACTCCCTTTGATGGCAAAGGCCTTAGAAGGGAAGGAGTGAATTGTACGACTGTAACAAGCGAACATCCTCTTTTCTCACAATCACTCGAGTCTTGGTACGGCTGGGTCGGAGGATGTTGCATTAAAAGAGAGTGTAGGTCGGGGGATGTTGCAGCGGTTAAAGCGATGGAGTAGTTTGAAGCATTATATGCGGAGCGTTCGCATGAAGGAAAAGACACTTCGAAGGCAAAGGCGCTTTGAAGCGAAAGGCCCTTCGATCGCAAAGGCCTTTGGATGGTAATGGCGCATCGATGGCAAAGGCCTTTGGATGGCAAAAGCTTTCTGATGGCAAAGGCCCTTTGATGCTTCGACGGCAAAGGCCCCTCGATGGCAAACGCCCTTTGATGGCAAAGGGAGAGGCCTTAGAAGGCAAGGAGTGAATTGTACGACTGCAACAAGCAAACATCCTCTTTTCTCACAATCACTCGAGACTAGGCACGGCTGGTTAGGATGTTGCATTACCAGAACGTCTAGGTTGGAGGATGTTGCAGCGGATAAAGCCATGGATCATGGATTAGTTTGAAGCATTATATGTGTAGCGTTCGCATGAAGGAAAAGACACTTCGAAGGCAAGGGCGCTTTGAAGCGAAAGGCCCTTCCATCGCAAAGGCCTTTGGATGGTAATGGCACATCAATGGTAAAGGCCCTTTGATGGCAAAGGCCTTGTGATGGCAAAGGCCCTTTGATGGCAAAAGCCTTCTAATGGCAAATGCCCCTCGACGGCAAACGCCCCATCGATGGTAAACGCCCTTTGATGGCAAAGGGAGAGGCCTTAGAAGGCAAGGAGTGAATTGTACGACTGGAACAAGCAAACATCCTCTTTTCTCACAATCACTCGAGCTGGGTCGGAGGATGTTGCATTACCAGAAAGTCTAGGTCGGATGATGTTGCAGCGGTTAAAGCGATGGAGTAGTTTGAAGGATTATGTTTGGATTGTTGGCATGAAGGAAAATACACTTCGAATGCAAAGGCGCTTTGAAGCATGGTAAACGTCCTTCTATGGCAAACATAGAGGCCTTCGAAGGCAAGGAGTGAATTGTAGGACTGTAACAAGCAAACATCCTCTTTTCTCACAATCACTCGAGTCTTGGTACGGCTGGATCGGAGGATGTTGCAATGCCAGAGAAGACACTTCGAAGGCAAAGGCACTTTGAAGCCAAAGGCCCTTCGATGGCAAAGGTCCTTCGACGGCAAACGCCCCAACGATAGCAAACTCCCTATCGATGGCAAACTCCCTTTGATGGCAAAGGCAAGCGCATTAGAAGGCTAAGGCCCTTCGATGCCAAAGGCAAAGAAAAGGCTCTTCCATGTGAAAGGCCCTTCGATGGCAAAGGAAGTCGATAGGAAAGGCCTTTCGATGGCAAAGGCCCCTCAAAGCCAGATGCCCTTCGATGGCAAAGGGCCCTTCAATGGCAAAGGCCATCTGATGCCAAAGGCCCATCGATAGGAAAGGCCCTTCGATGGCAATGGCCTTCGATGACAAAGGCAAAGGCTCTTCGATGGCAATGGCTCTTCGATGACAAAGGCCCCTTCGATGGCAATGGCAATTAGATGGCGCAAACGCCCTTGGATCGCAAACGCCCTTTGATGACAAAGTTCCCATCGATATATATATATATATATATATATATATATATATATATATATATATATATATATATATATATATATATTCTGACATTCAGAAGCTAAGGGGCCGACCATTTAACTTTTGAGGGGGGGGGATTTTGAAAAAAATTTCCTGCAAGGCTATTCTGAACAAAAAAAAATATCTGCACTAACAAACTGGGGAAAAAATATCCTGCCCCAGTATTTGGTGGGGAAAAAAATGTTGCAAAATAGCATGGTTGCCGGGATCGATTTGACCAGTCCGAAAAGATCAGCTGGTTTGATTTTCAGGGACTAGTGTAAGGTTAATTTCTTGTTGGAAAACTCTTCAAAATGGTGGAAAGAGCTTATCTGAGCTTCAAAAAATCCAAAATTTTCCCTCCAGAGGCTTCGCACCTTCGGTGGTCGACTCAGTTGTCTCAGAGTCCTAGTTAAGCATGGCCTGAGCTGCTGCCCTATGACGTATACTTATTAGTTAAATCATGCATGTCTATGCTGTAGGTAGCTGCAGTGATACAGACAGGGCTGTAGCGAGGGGGTATCAGTGGGGGGTGGTTAACCCCCCAACTTTTTTAGAATCAACATGTTCAGAAAATCGGGTTGGCCATTCGGAAAATTACGGCAATAATAGTAGAACAAAATTTTAGTGGTTAAACAGAGAAAATATTATATTGTATTGTCAATATAAATTGTAAGCAAATTGTAAATTTCGACATACTAAAACGCTTTTTTCTGACCATCAGCATTCTGTCAAAACTTCCCCAAAGTCCAGGAAATGGCATTTCAGAGACTCGAAATTTAAAAATTTCCTCGGGCCTCCGGCCCTCGTTTTCTGCCCCCAATAAACAAAAGCTCCCTACCGCACTGCTTCTGTAATATGTCTGTGCGAAAATTATGCATATTTTTGTTAATTGTAAATTGCGTCTTCATTTTCCGAATAGCAAACACCTTCATGGCTAATAGTATGCCATGATATATTCGGAAATTATTTTCGTCATTCGGAAATTTTTGGCCTACACCCCCCCCCCCCAACTATACATGCTAGCTACGGCCCTGGATACAGACTTGCCGACTGGAACTTCTCCAGGTCCCCCGCTAATTATGTCCTCTCCAGTTACACATCCTCAAAAAAGGCCCTGAACCGAATGTTATACCTCATAGCAATATGTATTATTAAGAGCAATGCATGAAGCTAGAAAACTCAACGTTAACTATAATTAAAGAATCTAAATAGTATAAGCTATTGAAAAAAAAATGCTGCGAAAGAAAGTGTGGCAAAAAAAACCGAACATAGTGATGGGATAAATAAAATATCTTGCACATAACGATCCCAGTAAAAAAAATTCCCTAGCAGCAGTAAATCACCCACCCCCTCCCTCAAAAGTTAAATGGTCGGCCCCTTATTTGAATTAAAAAATGGTTTTCCAAGCTGGATCACGTGATCCATGGAGGGAGGTGTAACACCCCCGCAATAATTCAAACGTAGGCCAAAGTTGGTCAAAATGGAACTGATATTTGGTCAAAGTTGGTCAAAATGGAACTGATATTTGCTTAAAATCGAAGGTAAAACTCGAAAAAATGCGGTCAAAGTTTGGGATAAAAGGTGGTCGAAGTTGCTCAAAGTTATGAAATAGTTTGCAATTTGAACAATTTTATTAAGCTTTTGTTATGTTTGTTGTGAAAAAAAATGGAAGCCTTGCTTATTTTGGTCGAAAAATTCTGAATTTGCATATGTTCTTCACGAATAATGGCCAGCATAGTCAACTCCTACTCTTGAAAAGGCAACGTCGTTATCTAAACGGTATTCTGGCAAGGGAGGTGCTGGCGGCACTCCGTAAGATTTGCCCTCTAATCGTTTGCACGTTAAACATCGAGCGATAATCTTCTTCACTACTTGTCGCCCTCTTACGATCCAATATTTCCATCTAACTTGAGTTACAGTTTCCCGAACGCCATTATGCCTAACTTCAGTGTGACAATGCAGAACTACGAGATTAGTAAAATCATGATCGCTGGGTAATAACATAGGAAACTTCGTTTCGTTAGGTAGATTTGACTTTTCGATTCGACCATGACAACAGATTAGTTGCTCATCGTCCATAAATAAACTTAAAGATCGTTTCATTTTATTATATTTCGGCAGCTTCGTTAAGGAAGCTTGCACATGCTTAATCCAGGATTTCTCGGCCACCTCTAGTTCTTCAGCAGTTAGAAGACCCTTCAAAATTTTCTCACCTTTCAAACTTCGTTTTACATTGTCAACGAATCTCTGCACATAGGCTGTTACACGAAGCAAAGTTTCTAACTTACTATACTTCGAAGCCTTTAGCAAGTTCTCTATACTGTGTTCTGGTTGCACATCAGTATCAACGACTGCCGCTATCACAGTCTGTTTGGATGTCTTCAACTCTTGCAACGTATTCTTGCTTTCTTCTCCGTGCGACGGCTGTACCGGCCACGAATCCTTGGGATTTAGTAAAAAGGTAGGACCATACCACCACTTATCATCCGCCGCGAGCTTCGATACTGATTCTCCCCTTAAAGCAATATCTGCTGGATTGTCTTTTGTTGGGCAATATCTCCAATCCTTTGGATCTGTCAATCTTCGAATTTCCTGAACTCTATTTTCTACAAACTGTTTGTACTCTTTACACACACTCCTTATCCAGCTTAGTGCAACCGTTGAATCGGACCAGAAGAAAATAGCATGAATCTTTAATATATTAAGACGTCTTGTAATGCCTTACGAATGTTATCTAGCAATCGTGCCGAGATTAAACATCCAAGTAATTCAAGACGTGGTATCGACTGTTCACTCATGGGTGCTACTCTTGTTTTAGAGGCGACTAAATTGCATTTAACTCCTGCTTCATGCTCGTATAAGATATACACGCAAGCACCATACGACGCCTCGCTTGCATCGTAAAATGCATGTAACTCGATTAACCCTGTTCGTGTTTCTTGAAAGTAACAGCGTGGAATAGAAATTACTTTGGCATTCTTCAAGTTGGAGAAGATTGCTACCCATACTTTACAAAACTGTTCGCTCAATTGTTCATCCCACTCAACATTACTCTTGCACAATTCTTGGAACAACAGCTTTAGTTGAAGAATAAGAGGTGATATCATATCAGCCCCAGGGAGTCATGAAACTTTGCTGTAATGCTCAACACAATTCGCTTTGTACAACTCTTTGGATCATAACCAGCTACAACATTGGACAAATTAATTTCACACTTGTCATTCAGGTCATTCCACGTTTGACCAAGGACTTTACTGTTCACATCATTCTGGCCACCAAGAGCTGATTTTGTGTAACCACAATCTTCTTCGTTCATAGTTGGTAAAGGATCTGCCGGAAAGCTAGGAATATCTTCAGCGAAATCGGGATCTATATACTTGAAACATTTGCTTAAGTTCTGGTGAATTAGTCTGCAATTTACGCATGTTGAAACCTCCTGTCGAAAGTCGAGACTTAATCTTTCTTGCTAGTTCCAACACTCTAGGTATACTCTCGCATCCAGATGCATAGTCATCGACGTAGAGAGATCGCAAAAGTTCGTAGAGAAACTCTGGATCATTCAGCAGATATTGATTAACATGATGACGAATGGTAGCGTTTAAAATGAACGGACTTGACGCAACTCCAAACACAACTCTGGCGAATCTAAGGTGTATAACGCTTGGGCTGCTGCTGTAGGGGTCATTTAACAATAACAATCTAAGAAAGTCACGATGTTCCTCCGCGACTGCAACGTTCAAAACAGCTTTCTCTATACCAGCTGTCATGGCAACCGAGTGGACAAGGAAACGCAGCAAGATGTCGAAAATCAGTGGGGTTATAAACTAGGTCCTGTTGTCTTAGCTGACGCGTCGTAAACCACTCTAACTGTCGTAGTGTCTTTGTCAGCTCTCACAACCTCTCTGTGGGGTAGGTAGTGCACATTTCCAGTCTTTGGGACAACTTTTGGGTCAACAGGTTCCACAATTCCCTTCTGGACTTGGTCTTGAATTATCTTATCATATTCAGTAAGAAGAGCAGGTTGATCTTGGAGTCGATGAACTAATCTTCCTAATCTTTTTACACTAACAGCATGGTTATCAGGGATGGTGGGATGGTGCTCTTTAAAGGGTAATTTTGCTTCACACCTCTCCCCATTAAATCTAACTTCTTCAACAAACTTGTCATAGACTGAACTTTCGTCACCCCGAATGCCTATAGACTCTAACTCCCAAAATTTATTAAGTTGCTCAGTCATGTTCGGGTTTAGGTTATCCTGAACTGGGGTAGCATCAATCCGTAATACATGAGTTGCAGCGAAGTTGGTTGTGGAACTAGATTCTTCACTAAGGTTATCAATTGTACCAGACAAAACCCACCCTAGCCTAGTTGACAGGGCAACGGGTCCATGTCCTTCACCTCTTCTTGACTCATTAGACATAAAGTTCCAATAGAAGTCCGCTAGAATTAGAATGTCAATGTCGACATCACTAGAAGGACTACTGTTATCTGCTAAATCTAAACCATTTAAATGCGTGTATTTCTCAACTGCTACTTCTACTGCTTGGTTAGAAATCGGACTACATATTACAGGGACACTAAAGGCATTGACATACAATTCCAAGCCATCAGTGGCTGTAATAGAGACTTGGACTAGATCACACGATATCAATTTTGGGGAGTCATTGCCAAATGTTTTTACCAAAAGGGATTGTTTATTAACAGGTTGGACACCCAATGAATTCTTCAGCCGATTTGATATATAAGACCTCTGACTGCTGCAGGAATCGAAAACAATTCTCGATTGCAATTTGGGGGACATTAGGGTTTCCCACCATAGCCTTTGCAGTTTGCAAAAGCACCGAGACATTGCTGTTTGCACAAACATTAGTTGATGCTTCATTTCCCTTGGCCTGAAAGGGTGGTTGTTGTGGTTGAGTTTGGCCGGTAGGGTCAGTAGTAATATAGAGGCCGTTCAACCCCCACTTTTGAGGGTGCGTAAGGGTGCGCTAATTAATATTCATAAAAATGAGGGTGCGTAAGGGTGCTGAGGGTGCGTTAATTAATACTCGTACAAATGAGGGTGCGTAGTGACGTCAATCATTAACATACGTCATAAATATATACAATGACGTCACGCGGGCGAGCTTAAACACGATCGTGCGAAACTTGCTGACTACGCATTTTTTAGCGTCCCCCACATGTATGATACAATTGAGGGATTAATGTTGGCTTACTATGATTGGTTGTTTGATTTAATGGGCGTCTGTATAAAATCGACAAGCGTCTTGTAATAGGTATAGTTCTGCATTTGACAACGCTCTCACTGGAGGTCTTTTGGTGGAATTTATATTCGGAGAGAAGTACTTGGAAGAGAATGGCACAGCAACATCGAGAGAATATTTGGTAAGTTTAATTTAAACTGAAAAAATAATATAATATCCAGAGTTTTGTGTATGTAATCGACTTCTATATTTTGTAGGAGAGATCATTTCACGGCAGAGTTGGAAAATGATGAGGTCAATCGCCAGCTTTGTGCCGTGGACACATTTTCTTGGTCCCCTGAAACTCAAGAGCAGATTCTGGCTGAATGGAATGATTGGCGACGGGACAGAAACCCTGGACATGGCTGCAATCACTGCGAAAAAGTATTCACACGTCGAGCCGATTTGAAGCGCCACATTCAATCTCTTCATTTTGGGGAAAAGTCGTTTACTTGCGACCAATGTGACAAATCTTTCGCGACGAAAGATAAACTGAACCGCCACAAGAAGATACATGACAAGGAAAAAGTATACGAATGTGCAAGATGTCATAAGAAATTTGATCGAAAGGTTTGTAGAGATTTGCATTAATATATAAACCGTAACAAGTATATGTCTATATAGACATTGTACAGATATACGCTATATTATACTTCATGTTCTTTACAGGATAATTTGAACCGCCACATGAAAATGCACGAGAGATGTGGTGCCGAAAGGGAATATACTTGTAATGTATGTGGTGAGGTGTTTCGAAATATATTCCCATTCCAAGCCCATCAGCGCGAAGTCCATCAAGTTGGTCGTGGGAAACGTACGAAGACGCCGACCCGGCGAACAAAAAGGCACAGAACTGATGAACCAGGTATGTATAAATGAAAATATTTCGATTACTGACTTTGTATTTATACAGATATTTTTTCTCTTTTAAGAACAGCCAACATCTGCGACACGCGTTAACGAAGGTAAGAGAGTATATGCTATGTAATAATTTAAGTTAAAATCACACTAATACATTTTTCTCCTTTTCAGGAGCTTCTATTGTCGTCAACGAAGGTATGAAATTCAATTTTTTAAACCGTATATAGTATATTGATTGTGGTGATTTGATGTGTATATTGACAATGTTAATTACTCGCAACCTCGGTTTTAAAACATCGCCTGAAATCCTAACGTTTACATTTGAAAAATATTTTCATGCTGTTTTCATGTTGTTTCACTGATGTTTGTGTTTTGAAAACATGATAAAAATAATCGAGTAATTTTTATAGCGTGGATTTATCATGTGGAATGTTCCTAATTATTCATGTTAGGCTTATGTTCATTTGATTTAGAACTATTAATTTATGTCATTGTACGAGTATTTACGCTACATCATTTTTGTAATATTCGCTAGCGTTTTATAGTGAGGTAAAAATAATCAAGTAATTTTTGTTGCGTGGGTTTATCATGTTGCTATGTGAAATTGCATGTTCCTAATTTATTCATGTTATACTTATTTCGATTTTTTATGAATCGGGTGTTTGTATGACAAAATTAGTGCGGAGCTCTAGACAAAAATAAAGAATCGGGTGTTATAATTTCTATAGGACCCCAAGAGTTCCCTCAGGATCCCCTATTACCACCATCTGACCTTCCTTCCCAACTCCACCGAGAGCATTGGCGTGCTATACGTACGCGACAAAGTCGAGGCAATCGGATTCAGCATTGGTACAACTATCGTTTGAGCTCGTTGAATATGGGTCAACTTGTCAACAGTATACAGCACATATTCGAAGATAAAACCACCGTCTTTAAGTTAAATCTCTCCTTTGGTTTCGTATTGTTTAATAACGAGACACAACAAATGCAATATCACCACCCCTCAGCAAACAACAGCCGTGTCTTCGACTCCCCGTTCCAGATTCGTAATCGTGAAGATTTAGCCCAAGTTCGCGAAACGATACAAAACATCGACATTCATGAATGGGCTCGACAACAACGACCCAATTCCAAATGGATTGTCATGGATGTTACCAACGTTACCTTCTACGTCACCAAACTTCGAGACCATCCCATAGGCCGCAGTGTCCGACTACCTAAATACATACTGGAGAGCCGTGCCATCGTGTCGCTCGACTGTAATGAACATACAGGACTACCATACGAAGACAAACTGTGCTTTTTCCGTTGTTTGGCCCTACACCGTGGTTGTCATCCCCATAACCTAAAACGTGATACTCAACATTTTTATGAGCAGTATTCTCAAGATGATGATTTTGACGGCGTGACACTCGAAGAACTCCAAGAGTTGGAAAAGTTATTCGAGTTGAACATTTTCGTGTATCGCCTTACAGAGCTACATGACGAAGATGACGACACGGCCTCCATTGTGGCTCAACTCATACAGCGCTCCCATCGTAGCTACGCCAATTCGATGTACCTGAACCTCTACGGCAGTCACTTCAGCTGTATTAAGAATTTGGCGATGTATTTCAAGTCCTACTGTTGTTCCAAGTGTGACAAAATGTGGAAGACAGCAAAAGCCTTGAACCAGCACGAGCGAACATGCGAAGCAACTATACGTCACATCTTCCCTGGTGGTGCCTACAAAGATCCACAGTCAATCTTCGATTTGTTGGCCGACGAGGGAATCGAAATCCCTGAAGACCTCAAGTACTTCCCTCATCGTGCCACCTTTGACTTTGAGTGTTATTTCAAACGTGAAGCCGAACATCCAAGAAATACAGCAAAGTTAACGTGGAAGCACAACATATCCCCTTGAGTGTCTCTGTTTGCTCCAACGTGCCTGGTTATGATCAACCCAAATGCTTCGTCTCGTCTGGCAGTACAAGTGAAATGATCCAACAGTTCGTGGAATATTTGGTTGAGGTCAGCCAAGAAAGTTATGGATTACTGCTGGACCAATTCTCTGACGTTTTTCGTCAAATTGATGAACGAGTTAATGAGGTATAGTTCACACGTATTAGATTCTTAGTATATTTCTTATCCTTAATATTTTTTCTTATATCTTTAGGTGGGGGAAAACGAGGTTATGGAAGTTGCCGCGGGGGAGGATAATGAGGTAAATTATAGGAAGGTTATTTTTGCACTTATATTCTTTATATTCTAGTATATCTTATGTTTTAGCAAAATACAGAGGAACAGATGATAGAGGAAATGGTGGGATGTTTGATGGGGCCGAATAGTGAGGTATATAACATAAGGTTTGAACTCAACAGTGGTATTTCCTGTGCTTACCATATGTGTACCTTTTAGGTGAGTGAAGATGTGTGTGGGGTAGATGAAGACGAAGTGAATAAAGATAAAGTCGTTGAAGAGAGAGTAAGTATCACACTCATGATCCATTTTAGCGGTTGTTATATAGAATAGTAGGGAAGTGTAAGTATCTTGCTTTTTACACCTTTTCATTTATTTAGGATGCGGTCCATCCTCTGCACAAACTTCAAGATAAATTGTCAGAATACTTACAAGAGCTACCAATTCTTGGGTTCAACTCTGGTAAATACGATATTAACGCTGCGAAAAACCCCTTCTTTTCACATCTCGTCAAACACGAACAAGTTAAGTTTGTGATAAAAAAGAACAATAACCACATGTGTCTCAAGACTCAACACTTAAAATTCCTCGATATCACAAACTATCTGGCTCCGGGATTTAGTTACGAACAGTTCCTCAAAGCGTACGAGTGCTCCCAGACCAAAGGCTACTTCCCGTACGAGTGGGTCGACTCCCTCGACAAACTCAATCATTGCTCCTTACCACCACGCGAAACCTTCCATTCCACTCTATCTGGAACCGACATCACCGAGGAACAGTATGAGTATTGCCAGGGTGTATGGGACGAACAGAATATGACAACTTTCCGCGACTTTCTCGTGTGGTATAACAACCTTGACGTAATCCCCTTCCTTGAAGCAATTGATAAAATGAGCAATTTCTGGCAAGAAAGGAACATTGATATGTTTAAGGACGGTGTGAGTGTGCCTGGCTTAACTATGAAATATTTATTTTCAAACATTCCAGGCACCTACTTCTCCTTGTTCAGCGAGAAGGACAAGGATATGTATTATTCAATGAAGGATAATAACGTAGGTGGCCCCAGCATTATCTTTAACAGATACCACGAGAAAGAGAAATCATCCATACGGAAGGAAGAAATGCGAGCCAGAGGAAAAGAATCGAATCCCTGCAAGAATGTAGTTGGTTACGATGCTAATGCGCTCTACTTGTGGGCCATCATGCAAGACATGCCAATGGGACAGTACATAAGACGGTTAGAGGAGGACGGGTTTAAGAAACAGTGGAGTGGAAAAATGGCGATCGAATGGTTAGAATGGCAAGCGTACAGTCGCGGTATTAGTATCAGACACGAGTACAACAACACGGAGAAAAGAATTGGCACTCGTCGTCTCCCTGTTGACGGTTTTCACGCTGAATCACAAACGGTGTTTCAGTTTCATGGTAAGTTGTTGTTTTAGTGTAATTAGTTAAGATTAATTAGCTAGGATTAAGTTAATTGTGTGGGAGTGAGCTAATGAGTTTTTAGCGATTGCGTGGGCCTGTAGGATAACTTTATTTTTCTTTTGTAGGTTTAACTGCATTACACTTTATTTTAATAGGATACAGATAGGTACAGATATTTCACAGCACACTCCCTAACAGGGCTTTTCAGTGACTGGTTACATTATGAATAGATAGATAGAACCGGACTGACGTGAAGCAGACCGAGGTAGACTTTGAGCTTACAAATGGCGCTTGAGCAGCCGCTATTAGTCCATACCTCATTAATGATCTGCCTCCAGACCTATGTGCCTAACCCACCCTGTCAACTTTCCCTGTGGGAGGAAACACGGAGTACCCGGAGAAAACCCACGACTTTCGGCAGAGCGTTGACTTTTATTCTTTTCACATGAGGACTGGGTTCGAGTCGCATTGAGAAGCTCTCACTGAGATTCGAACCTGCGGCCTTAGAGGTGAAAGGCAAGTGCGCTAACCACTTCGCCACCGAAGCCCCTTGGCATAAGCACAACTGTCATCTGAACGAAGGGAAAGAAGTCAACGAGAAGCGTGATAAGCCGATGAAGGAACTCCTTGAAGAGACCCAAAGAAACAGCGCCTATATCAAGAAGCAGGGATTCAATCTCGTTGAATGTTGGGAATGTGAGTGGCGAGAGATGAAGAAACGAAACACCGCGCTGCAACGCTTCATTGCCACGCAACTTCGCCGACCCCTAGACAAAGTAAAAACGATGACAACTCGATCAATTGTCAACGCTGTGAAGAATGATACGTTATTTGGCTTTGCCGAGTGTGATATCCACGCACCTGAGAGTTTGCGAGAATACTTCAAAGAGATGTGTCCAATATTTAAAAACACAGAAATACGTCGAGAGGATATTGGTGAATTCATGAAGAGTTATGCCGAAGAAAACAACATCATGCCCCAACCTCGGCGGAGTCTCATTGGGAGTATGATCGGAAAGAAGATAATGTTGGCAACTCCTCTTCTAAAATGGTATTTAGAACATGGTTTAGAGGTTCGTTTTAAATATTAAAAACTTGTAAAATTGCAGGAGAAAATTTTTTTAACAAATTGTATTATCGTTTTAGGTAACACACGTCTACCAGATAGTCGAGTATACCCCTAAGCCATGCTTCAAACCTTTCGGTGACGCTGTATCGGATGCTCGTCGTGCTGGTGATGCAGACCCCTCCAAAGCCATCATCGCGGACACGATGAAATTGGTCGGAAATAGGTGAGTTTTAAAATCACGCTGTCGTGACGTATTCAAGAAATACTCATTTTTTGTATTTCTATACAGCTCATACGGGAAGACCATCACCAACAAAGAGCGTCATCGCAAGGTGGATTACTGCAACGATGATGAGGTTTCTGAATTAATCAACTCACCATTCTACCGCCAAATGAACGTGATCGACGATGACACTTACGAAGTGGAAAGTGCTAAGAAGAAAATAAAGTTGGACTTACCACTACAGGTATGTATTGCATGATCATTTTGTCATTAGAAATATAAATTAATAAGTAATTATTCTTATTTTACATGTGGGGTTCTTCGTGTACCAGTATGCGAAACTCCGAATGTTATAGTTTTACTACGACTGTTTAGATACATACCTTGACCGTTCCGATTATGAGTATTGCGAGATGGATACAGACAGTGCCTATATCGCTATTAGTGGTGAAAGTGTTGAAGAATTGGTCAAGCCTGGTTTAAGAGAGGCGTTTGAGAACGATAAATGTAACTGGTTTCCTCGCTCCAATACAACTGAACATGCGAAATACGACAGGAGAAAACCGGGGTTGTTTAAAGTGGAATGGGAAGGGGATGGAATTGTATCTTTATGTAGTAAGACGTATTATTGTTTTGGGGAGAAAGATAAATATAGTTGCAAGGGTGTAAATAAGAAAAATAATGTAATTAATAAAGATAAATATTTAGATGTGCTTTTAAGTAAACGTAGTGGATCGGGTGTAAATAGGGGTTTTAGGGTTTTAAATAATACTATGTGTACATATGTTCAAGTTAAAAACGCTTTTAGTTATTTTTATCCAAAACGTAAAGTTTTGGAGGACGGTGTGTCAACAATTCCTTTAGATATTTAGTTTGTAAATAGTCAATATATATTTTTCAAAACCATGTTGTGTATTTTTCTCTCCCCCTCCCCATGCAGAGTTTCAGGGACAAAATAAGTCCCGCACGGGACAAACAGTCCCGCAGGGACACTTTGAGCGTTTCCGGGACTTCCGGGACAAAAAAAGTCCCATGCGGGACATTTATATAAGAGATGGGAGTCAGGTAAGGTCTTCATTCTACATCATGCCTCGAAAGCGTAAAGACTGTCCGATTTGTGGCAAGAAAAAATTGTTGAAATTATCTAACCATTTAGCAGGTGTTCATGAACTTTCCACCGCACAAAGACAACCTTTCCTTATAAGTGCCAAATGTGCACCTTTGGACTTGGAAGTAGTTTTAACTGAATTGTATAGACTCATTGGACGAATGATATAAATAGTGACGATCAAAATATATGATTTCGTTTTCAACATGTACTCCATACAGTTAACACACCCGTTTGGCCTTCTCGTGTCTGGGAGCACAAAGTCAGCCAAAACTACATTTGTGAAAAAAACTTTTGAGTTATGTTAATGTCATGATAGACAAACCTCCAGAAAACATTGTGTATTTTTATGCCGAGTACCAAGATACGTTTGGAGAAATTCAAAATTTAGTGCCTGGAATAAAATTTGTAAAAGGTTTACCTGATGATATACTGGATAGTATTAATCCCGAAACACGCAATTTGTATGTCATTGATGATTTCATGGGTGAGAAGGACGGAGTCATTTCAAAATTATTCACGAAAAAATCACATCATGGTAACCTGAGTGTGATCTACATTGTACAAAATTTATTTCATCATAGCAAAGAACACCGTACAATTTCTCTCAATGCAAGTTATTTATGTTTAACGAAAAACGTGCGAGACGCAAGTCAAATTATTCATCTCGCTAAACAACTGTATCCCAGCATCTAAAGATCCCTATTCGTATCTATTTGTCGACCTAACTCCTACGTGTCCTGACGAGATACGGATTCGATCCGGGATCTTTCCAACAGATACGCATTATGTCTATCAACCCAGAGTATAAGAAAGTGGGAACGTGTGTAAAATTTTCATTTGATCATGTCTGCTTGTATGACGAGGAACTCCGAACTTCTGAAAGTATTGGCCAAGTGTAAACCTGAACTGAGAAAAGCTATTTTGAAAGCGGCTGAAGACGATCTGTTTGAAGCTATAAGACAGTGTCTATTAAACGTTTGGTTTGACATGATTAAACTGAAACCGAAAACAGCTAAAAAACTTGCACCACATTCCAAGCATATAAAGTTTGCGTCTGACAAACGAAATCCTATCGTAAAAAGAAGAACCCGTCTAGTTCAAAAAGGGGAGGGTCTCCTACCGTTTCTACTCACTTCAGTTTTGGAACAGTTAGCTAACTTTTTATAATGGAGCACGTCAAGCGATTAGTACTTGTCGCTGAACATATGGCTGAACAGCGAAAGAAACCACTCGCGGCGCCTTTGGCGACACAGGTCAACGAAATAGACTCGGACATGCAAGATATTATTCGACGACAAGATATACCAATTGATGAAAAGGCAAAGTTATACGACCAGAATCTGCAACGCTATTTAACCTTTTATGATAAACGAATGAATAAACCTCTTGGAGTAAACGTGATGCACACCGATCAAGCTGAAGAACCTCAAGGAGAACAGGCGAGTGAAGAGACTGAACCCTCAGACGAGATTGAAACAGATATCATGGATAGTGTACCAGCTACTATGAAGTCAAGAGGTCGACAACTCATAAAAAACTCAAATCAAATAAGGATCTTATTGGTTGGAATGAACAAGGCCAGATGGTGTTCATAGGAAGATCGGTTCCTAGCACAAATATAGTTGATTTAGTGAATGATTCTCTACGTCAAAGGAAGAATTTCAACCCCAACGGCTGGGAATTGTTTTCAAAAGTTCTCGGACATTTGAATGTACCCGAAGGTATTGTGAGAAACGAAAACCGTCTTGGAATTGTTCGCGAATATAAAACCAAAGGTATCCCGGAAAATCTAGCCACCACTCCTCGAGTGCAGCAAGAAAAGAGGAAAAAACGCAGAGACAATATTAGTAGTCCATATAAATGGTTAAAATAATTTATTTCTTGTAAGAGAAAATTTTACAATAAATGTATTTAAAACTAAATCTAGTGTTTGTACCACTTGTCTATAAAATCACGCACAAGCTCATCATTCCATTCTTTGCTATCCGTAAACATATTTGCAATGGTTGACATTGGAATACGTCTACATCGATGTAAAGCAAAGAATAATGTATATTGTCCGCACACGTCTGATGAAGGGGCTTGCAAAATTCTTCTGTTCCATGTAAATGTAGCGCAATGCTTGTCCAAAAATTGAGTAAAGTTCTGATTATAAAATCCAGGAGCCTGACCATACGAATCCCAAAATTCCCCTTTGCCATCTTCTGTAAGGTACATTGCAATCCAGTGTGATCCTGGCATATCGGATGCGTCCGTGTTAAGTAAATACCCTATATAAATAAACGATCTGATGGTAAAACGTCCGTAAACACCGTTTTTGTAAATGGATCATTCTTGAGAATGTTCATAATCTGCAGCGAGTTCATCTTCAGTTGTTGAAATCACACAGCACGTTCCGGTTCGCATCAATTTCGATAAGACTTTGAAATTCACCAAGTACCACGATATTTATAGCTGTCTCCAACGGTGTTCCAAATCGACATTCAATTGACACATTTCCGTTCTTAATCGGTTGTACATGATCACCAAGGCATAAGTCAGGAGTTAGGTCAAACACAAACAGTGTATAACCGTTTGCATATTCTTCACGTGTTATACCATTACCCTGATTATCAAAAATCTTGTGTGCGCCGGCGTACAGGGTTTGAAAAGCAGAAATGTAATTACTGTCTGCTCCAAATTTCAACTGTAGTGGTTTTCCAGGTAAGTTCTCTCCGTTGACAGTGAGATCCATGGTTGTGATATCATAATTTTTAAAATTGAACGGATTCTTCGTATATGTACCGTTAAAGACATCCGCGTCGACCATTCCAATCACGATACGATTTGGTAAACCACCTTGAAATATATTAGGTTTATTTCCAGACATATTCCCCCGGGGTACGGAGACAACCTTGCAGTCGATCCTGTTGATTGGGTATTTGGCAGTGATTTGTTGAAGGGCCTGGGAATGAGCCAGTATAATACTAGGGGCTACGTTAACTCGTCGTACACGAAACAAACATTCCTCGATGACCACTTTGAAATTGGGATTTTCCTCGGATGATACCAAACAAAACGGGTCTCTAGATCTCACCAGCTTGATCTTGATTGGAACAGCACCAAGAATATAACGGTCTTGCGCGAATAGATCAGAATGAAGTCTTCCTTCCATGGCGACAGATTTGCTTTCACGTGTACATGCATGGCGTTGTTTTAATCCCGTGTTGACGTTGGCGTCTTATGCGAGAGGGTTTACTACATCCATCTTTCCAGCTTTATCTTTATAGAACAGTGCTGAGGTCAAATGTGAATCTTTGGCGTCTTTACTAAAGTTCAGGATCGTTTCGATATACGCTCGGTAAGGGTATGCTGTGCTTGATGGGGTGACCAGTTTGTTGTTCAGAAATACTTCAACTTGTGAGAATAATTCATGCATCCAAAGGTTTGAAGGTCCAACTGGAATGTCGGCATCCACATTTCCTCCGGCCGCAGTAGTAATCTTTGCTTTAACGTATAGGTAACTGCTTGCTAAGTCGGTATAAACACCATTATTTGCAGCACATAAAAATTCTATCGTATCTGAAGAAGATATGCTCGTAATAGGATCAACATCTTCCCAAAATCCCTTTTCCATTACCACTTGAGTCGGTGGAATAGAAAATAAATCGAGTTCGGATTTTGAACACATACAGGAGTCTTTATGCATTGTTTCAAGAGCCATGCCACTTTGGACTATAGTTATCGAGAGATGTTTTCTGCTTCTTGGTTGGACCACGAATGGGAGTTTTAGCTGGCGCTGCTCTTTTTATACCCTTTTTGCGACCCTTTCCGGTCATTACTTTCTTGGCAGCGTTTTTTGCAACATCAGATGCTGCTTGTTTTCCTCGTGATTTAAAAGCTTCTTTTACATTTTTTCCTTGGAGTACATCTTGACCGACTTCTGTGGCTGCTTGCAATGCTCTTTTTCCAACAACTTTAGCGCCTTGTTTGAACAGAGGGATAGCATATCTCGCAAGGCTCTTGAAAATACTTCCGATCCCATATCCCCTTTGCATACGTGCACCACGAAACCCAGCGATATTCCCACCACGCTGTTGTCTCAAGAAATGGTCTTTCAATAGTTTAGCATCCACAACTAGTCTTCCGCGCATTTTTAGATAAAGTACTGAGATCTCTTCTGTCTAAAGTGAAGTGTTGCGATTGACTTTCCGAACTCAAATGAGACGTTTTCGTTTTGGTCATTCTTTATATTCACTTCAATGGTCTCAAAAGAATTTACTTTGACCGGTACGTATTGCAAATTACGAAAACTGGCGTGAACGGTGTTTCCATATTCCCCTTCGATATTAACGATTCGTAGTAAAGGTACTTTCACATCGCCGACAAACTGTGCATCAACGATATCAGTATAGACATACATGGAGGAAAATCCACCATTGATATCTGCAGGATATGGACTCGAAGTTTTCTTTTCAATAAGAGTGTCCTGGTCAAATCCCAAGACGGTTGCTAATTCTCCGGTAAACCACACAGTTGTGTCGTGTTTGACATCGACCGAAACTTTGCGAGAACTGCGATTATAACTAAACTTCACTTTCGTTTGTGTTTCTTTCGACATGCCGGCATTGAGTGCTTTTGTTAGTTGCTCAATAGAAGAATATTGTGTTTCTTTAAGCACGACAGTTTGATAAGGGCTACTGCCAATTTTATATAAAAACGTTTGTTGCACTCCACGTTTTAGCGTGCTCCACGTATGTGGGTAATGCCACTTCCCATTGGCATGGCAAGACAATGGTTTCGGCCAATTTCACTCGAAAATTTGCCACTGTATTATTTTGAAAATAAGCCATAGAACAACAACTCGGTAAAGTGAGATAAAACTGTGTTGCCATATTGAAGACCAACACACAAATGAATACAAGTTATGAGTTTCAAATATATTTATTTCAGATCTTTTACACTCTCTGCTGGTACCCAAGAATTAAACTTGTCAGGGTAACCCAACCA